AATGAATAGTGAAGTTAAAACAGGTGGGTCCGCTCTGTTTAGGCCCGTTTCGTTCCAGTTCGCCTAGTTTAAGTCTTTTTAGGAATGAGTCCGGATAAACCCGTTTATAGTAAAGCCCGTTGGGTTTATACAAACCCGACTATCATATTTTATATAAAAAATTATCACATTTTAGTAAAAAAATTTTGATTGTGGTGGTTCAATTTCATTTTTGAGAGCACTTATGGAAGGCGATAAAGCTTTTTTGATTGTGGTGGTTCTGTTTCATCTTCGAAAGCACGTATAGATGATCTGGTGGTGTTGAAATGTTGATTAGATGTCTTTGGTGATTGGTTTTGTCTTTCTTGTGGTTGTTTTATATTAAGTCTTTCATCTATTTTTTCTAATAATGACGGTTGCAATGGTGTTGGCCTCGACATCGATAGTGTTGACATCAACAACAATGGCTAATCGGATTCAGAGACCCTTAGCCCATTTTTGGAATCAATTGGTATTGATGACATATCTAACGTATTCAGACTCGGTTAGAAACGACGGTAATAGGAAACAGTTATGTTGGCAAGTTTCTCCAATATTGGAGACTATTTATCCATGGTTCGTCAGAATGAATCCATGCGATGGCTGCACTCATGTCGAACCCGCTATCTCTGTGAAGAGTCTTGTGACTCTCCATGATGACCGATATATTCGATATCCTGCATGTGAAGGAATTGAGTATAAAATACGAAGAATATTTTGGTGTATTGGTCGGCGGATATGGGACCCTAGAAAATCATGTTTACAGTGAGTGGGAGATGAAAGTATACTCTTTTTGTTGTATGGCGATACTCGTATAATCGTTGAAYATTGGCTGTCCGAAAGTTTTCTATCAACCAATCAGTAAATTGGATTTTTAATCAAAGAATATATATAAATCTTAATTGGAAGTTGGCTGACGTAATACAACAAAGAGAATTGATGTTTGGTATTTTCACCTAATGGGTGATAACCAAAAAAGAAGATCGCATCAGATGGAATGCGAACATGTGGAAGAAAAACAACAGAGTTTATATTCTCTTAGCGAGTAAGACTTTTGGAGGAAAGCATCGTTAAAGGTCACTTTCTTTATTTTTCAAAATTTTAAATATATCATTTATTGTAATTTTTTTATTTTCAGTATGTGTTATATAATTTTGGATATTATATAAATAAAAAGATGTTAAAAAAAAAAAAGAAGAACACACAAGGCAGTTACTTTCCTCTTATAAAACCGGACATAACTGCCTCCAAAGCTTAAGCAACAAGAACACACAAGGATCTCTTCCTCAAAACTGTTTTCTCTCCTTTTTTCTCTGAAAAACACATCAAACCGACGATTAAAATCGAACCAACCGGTTCAATTCGACCTTCCAAACTTCTCAATTTTTGGGTTCACGGGCGTTACAATTCTTCCCACTGACCAGGATTCGTCCTCGAATCTCGCATTACCTTCACACTACGGTCTCAACTACCTGACCCACCCGGCCATCACCACTCGAGATCAACCTTCAAATCACGCAAAACAAACACACTACAGTTAACACTCCTGACCAACCCGGCCAGCATCACTTGAGATGAACACTCCCGATCTCTGAGGTCTACATTTAGTCCTATGCATATAGCCACGTTTCAGACATTGATTG